CTTTGGATTTATATAGATTGGAATTTTCTTATTATTTCAGGGTAGCCAAATTTACTAAGTAATTGCCCTTTGGTGTTCTACCTATCTGAGCATTTCTTTGGTCTTCTGTGGACCGGCGTTAAAAACAAATCCGTTATTCTTCATATTTAATCATCCAAAATTTCTCTTTTTCATCTCTGTGGCTTAAATGAAACATATTCATGTAAAGATTTTAGAATTTCATTTCCAAACACATTCAGTTAGCTATTACAGTCTTATTAGAAATAGCAATGTTTTACTCTTGTATGCCAAAAATCTATGTGCTTATAGAGATAAGCATGTACTGTATCAATAGGTAAGTTACGTTATCAATAAGTTAATTAGCAAAGATTTGTTTGGCAGGTACAGTTATAGGTGAATTATATAGAGACAGTGGCTTTGAAATGAGGTTTTGAAGGATGCCTGTGAATTTAAGGTGGATGAGGCTGGGGCTAAGGTAACATCAAGGCAAAGAGAATGAGATCTGTAAAGCTGCTAAGCTGCCAATAGGGTCACATAGTTGGGAAATGAAAGAAACTCAGTGGCTGGAACACAATTTGAAGAAAAGTGACTGGAGTTGAGGCAATAAAGACCTGCTGGCCCAGGCTGAGAAGGCTGTTATATGCCACACAAAGTGATTTTCATCTATAGGCAGTAAGGATCCATTTTAGATTTTCATGCTATGGAGCCAATGTAATTGGATCAGTATCTTAAAATAATGGCTCTTAAACTTTTCAAATACACCACTCTCTAAATTTTTTTAATGTTAGGAATATACCATCACAGAACAAAAGTAGCATTGGGCTATACCCTCTATGTCCCATTTGTAATAAAAATTTCCTTGAGGGAGGATATATACACAATCCCCTAATTATCCTAATAATTTATATAGTATGTAAATTTTGTGAGCAGGCTTTTAAATAAAATCATATAATTTTAAATTTTCAAAATATTAAGAAGTTACCTGTAAAGCAAATAATAATAATAATAATCTCTCTGGCCTCTCCTGGGTACACAGAACTACCTTAAAATCAAACAATGTATGTTTGCACACTGTACCAGTTTTATATGTGGCTTATTTATTATTATTATTATTATTATTATTATTATTATTATTATTTTATATGTGGCTTATAAAACCTTTTTAAAACTAGAGATGGGGTGCCTGGATGGCTCAGTGGTTGAGATTCTGCCTTTGACTCAGGTTGTGACCCTGGGGTCCTGGGATCCAGTCCTGCATCAGGCTCCCCGCAGGAAGCCTGCTTCTCCCTCTGCCTGTGTCTCTGCCTCTCTCTCTCTGTGTCTCTCATGAATAAATAAATAAAACATTTAAAGAACAAAACAAACTAGAGATGTTTAATTATGGACTACTTGAACATTTGGATTTTCTTTTCTTAGATATTTAAAAAACAATATTTAATGCTTAGCATTTCTTCTTATAAAATAAGCATATTTAGTTTGAATACCTGTAAAGAATCTGACTAAAACTATATCTCACTATAAACATTGATTTAGATATAGTAATAAAAGTAGTTTTCCAGGTAATATTGTCTCACACTTACATGGACCTTTATATTTGCCACATTGTTTTCATAGTAATGATCTTATTTCATCCTTACAATAATCTGTGATATATATAAAAGTGTTCTTTACTCCATTTTATAGATTTGAAGTCTACATCTCAGAGGGATTATCTGAACATACTCTGCACTGTAGAAGAAAGCCAGTGTGCTCTGTGGTCAGATAGATTTGCATTCAAATTTCTGCCCTTTTCTTTGTTAACTGTGTGTGCCTGGAAAAGTCACTTAATCATTAGGAAACTCATCTTTCCCAGTTGGAGTGAATTGTACTTATCCCATAGGCATGTTATGAGAATTTCTTTCTGATAATATGTATGACATACAAAGCACAGTAAATGGGGACTGCTGATAAGATTATTGTTGCTAATATTAATTGTCATCAATAAGGGCCCAACACCCATTAGTCACATTTTCAAAACCCTAATGTTCTGAAAAAAAAAAGTTCTGCTAAATAAGTTTTTCCCCAAGTTTTACATAAACTCAGTTGTGGCATAACCATATTTAAAATGATGTGGGGTTATTTATGTAGTGTTGTTTACTTTCCTAGTCATTGTCAATAGTGAAAAGATTTTGCTATGAACTAGTAATATACTGATCCTGCTTTGCTCCAAGAGAGTTACATAATTATAGTAAATGGGACATATTCCCTCTCTGGAATCTAAAAACCTTCAAGACACAACTGGGCCAAACATTTTAGATTAAGGACTATAAATATATTTATTATTTATGACTCTTTTAATAACAACTTTATTGAAATGTATTTCACAACCATTACATTTATTACTTTAGAGTGTGCAATTCAGTAGTTTTGTAGCATATTTACATAGTTGTACAACTATCCCCACTATGTAATTCTAGAATGTTTTGATAAGCTCAAAAAAGAAACCCTGTACCCATTATCAGTCATGTCCATCTCTTCCACTCTCACATAACTGTTAATCTATTTTCTATCTCTGTAGATTTTCTCATTCTGGACATTTCATATAAAGAGAAGAAGAGGAATGATGTATTAATTGGAGTTTTGTGCCTGGCTTCTTTCACTTAGCATAATGTTTTCAAGGTTACCCATGGTGTAACACGTTCAATATTTCATTTCTTTTTATGGTGGAATAATATTCCATTGTATGGTTATATAACTTTTCCTTATCTATTCATCATGGATTGTTTCCACTTTTGGGCTGTAAGAATAATGCTGCTATGAACATCCATGTACAAGTTTTTATGTGGACATATGTTTTCATTTTTCCTCGGTAAATATTGGAGTTGCTGGGTCATATGATTTACTTTATGTTTTTTGGAGGGAACTGCCAAATTTTTTTGAAGGTGGCTGTGCATCATTATACTTTTCCACCAGCAGTGTGTGAAGGTTCTAGTTTACCTTAATCCTCACTGACACTTTATATTGTCTGTCTAGTGAAGTAGTTTTGATTTGAATTTCGCTAGTGACTAATGAAATTTAGCATCTTTGCATGTGCTTGTTGGCAAATTGTTTTTATTCTTTGTGAGAAATCTCTATTTAATCCTTTGCCCTTCTAAAAATTGGATTTTTTGCATTTTTACTGTTGAGTTGTAAGAGTTCTTCATTATTCTGGGTGTAAGTCCCATATTGGATACATGATTTGCAAATATTTTCTCCTTTCCTGTGGGTTGTCGTTTCACTTTGTTGGTCATGTACTTTGGAGCACAGAAGTTTTTCTTTCTTCTAATGAAGTGCAATATACCTATTTTTTCCATAGGGGCTTGTATGTTTTGCGTTGTTTCTAAGAAACTGTTGCCTGACCCAAGGTCACGAAGTTTTACTCCTCTGTTTTCTTCTAAGCATTTTTAAATTTCAGTATTTACTTCTAAGTCTATGATTCATTTGAGTTAATTGAGTTAATTTTTGTGTATGGTATGAAACAATACTTTGATGTAGGAAAGATGTTAAGATTTGGACCCGACAGACAAGAAAGAATTCTTGAGACATCTTTGGTCCAAAAAGGTGATTTTATTAAAGCACAAGGTTAGGACCTGTGGGCAGAAATAGCTGCACTGGTGTCATGAGCAGTGGCCAACTATATCCCAATTTTCAAGATGAGAGTTGGTTAGGGACGGCATAAGTCTCTAAGGAACTTTGGAAGCAACATTTCCAGGACCTTGAGGGGGCTAGCTCTTGTTTGGGAAAAGGTCATTTATTACTATCTAATAAAATCTTAGTCATGAGACCCTTCCAGTGTATATCATTGGGTCATATACTTGGGGGATGATTGCTAACATGTATCCTGCGAGGAGGTAGAGATGAAGGAAGTTTCCAAAGACATTTTTATATATTAAAATGGACTTACAGGATCCTGGGGGTCAGGCTAAGATTGCCTTTTGCCCTTAGCAAAGTGTTCGCATCAAGGCAGCTGAGCTCCTAAAGGAAAGTCACTCTGCCTGTTTCAAGGACTGGCAGTGGACTGTAGAGAGTAAGGAAATTTAATTTGTCTTTTTGCCTTTTTTTTTTTCACATAAGACTTCCATTTTATTCTTCTGCAGCATCATTTTTTAAAAAGACTATGCTTTTGTATTATCATGCTTGAGCTGGATTATTATCACTACTTAAAAACAGCCTAAAGATTGCAAGCTATTTTTACTGATATGATTAAAATTAGTGAAACTTGTGTTTTTAAATGCTTGGGGTTAGATTTTAAGTTGGTGTTATTATTATGAGAAAGTGGTTAAGAACCATTTAAACTTGATACTCTTATCTATAAAAGAGCAATTGCAACATAAAGCTAGAAGTAAGTTCAGTGCCTGGCGCATAATAGGTATTCAGTAAATAGTTGCTGAACAAAAAATGAATAAATCATATATATTTAATTTGCTTTTTAATGGGCATTTAGTTTAGAAAGTAGCATATTTAAACATTTAAGGTTAAATAAATACAATTATTTTATAGGTCAATACTGTATAAATTACAATAACAGAGAACAAATTCAAATTGGTCCCTTTATATCATATTCAACTCTAAAATATAGTGAACACATCTCTAACTACTTTTCAGATAATCACTATACAATGAACTATTCTTGAAGTGTGATCTGCAGAAATAATGTTACTATTTATTACAGTGGAAAGGGGGTCTTTAATTAAATAAATTTCAGAGACATTGGGTTAAGTAAATTAAATAGACTTAGTACAGGATTTCTCAGAACCCTTTTTTTTTTTTTGAAGGTGTGCATTGTGAAAAAGGGACACAGTATACAACATTTTCTGAGTATATTTGACCAAAGAAACTTAATTCAATTGAATATAGACAGACTTAGCAAACCCAGAAACACCTCTTGGAAAATGCTACCACAGTGATTTTATTTTGTGGGTATTAGGGCACTGGAGGTCATCCATTTTTAATGTTTCCATATACTCTATTTCGAATTCCAGTAAGAAAAAGCAACCAAGAGCATTGTTATTGGTATCTGGAATTGAATTTGCCAGGAATGCAAGCGCAGCTTCCTCAGTAAAGATCTCGCCTTTGGAAACATCTTACCCCTTGGCAGCTCTCCAGAGTTCAGACTTGGCAGCATCAAGGACACAGCACAAGGTGTGTTTATTTGATTTTAACATTTGGCAAAAGGTGTTTTGACTTGTGGTTTGTTTTCTCTCACTTGTTTTTCTTGTTTTGGTTTGTTTGCTTCTGGCAGTGAACTTGAGTTTGGAATGTGGTTCTTTCTTAAGGAAGATGGGGGTATGTTTTTACTTACATTTGTTTTGTGGCATTTGGGCAAATCCAAGTAAGTAAAGCAAGGTCTGCAGAGCTATAAATCTATATCTGACTTATTGTTTAAATCATTTAGTAGGGATCCTTGGGTGGCGCAGCGGTTTGGCGCCTGCCTTTGGCCCAGGGCGCGATCCTGGAGACCCGGGATCAAATCCCACATCGGGCTTCCGGTGCATGGAGCCTGCTTCTCCCTCTGCCTGTGTCTCTGCCTCTCTCTCTCTCTGTGACTATCATAAATAAATTTAAAAAAAAAATAAAAAAAAGAAAGTTTAAAAAAATAAATCATTTAGTATTATTAGTTGTCTATTAGGATTTGGTCCTCCATAAAATACTTCATCTCTCTTATGTTTGATACACCATGATACTTTGGTACATCACTATATTTTGGTAATTATACATAGATTATAATCAATGTCCCTATACAGTAAGTAATGAACAGATTAGGATCATCATAAAATGTCATTCAATGTCACTTTTAATCTTTCTTGATTAATGGGTATATTTGCGTTTCACATATTTTGTGGGAAGAGAAAATATGTTATCCAATCAAAGCATATGAGCCCCCATTACATCTCTGACCTTATCTTCTGCTGTCCTCTTCCACCTCTTCCTCTGCTCAGAACCTTTCAATGGCTCTCTCTTTCACTCAAGATAAAAGCTAAAGCTCTTAAACTGGCCTATATGTCTCTGCAAGAGATGATTCCTTGTTACTGCTCTAATCTCATCTCTAATCACTCACTTGCTCAGCCATACTGGCTCTTGTGTTGTTCTTTGAACATACCAGACGTATTCCCATCTCAGGGTTTTTATACTGTTCCCTCTATTGAATTACTCTTCCCTAGGTATCTGCATAGCCAATTTATTTACTTTCTTTTGGGTCTTTATTATGAAGATCACTGTCTAAATGAGGTCTTACCTGGTCACCATCCAAATATCCCTGCTCTCTATTTTCTACTCCACATTTAACACGATATAATAAACTGGATATTTAATACTTAGTTGTGTTGCTAATGACATTATTCTTCACAAGAATATTGGTTCCTATGAGGGCAGGTGTGTTTGTTTGTTCTCTTTTACTCCATCTCTAGCAACTGGAGTCATCCTTGGTCCCTGATGAGCGAATGAATGAACCACCAGTTAATATAGCAAACATTTTTTAAGCACTTAACCATGAGGGAGGCACTAGGCTGATTGGTGACCACACATGTGGTGTCTAAATGGAGTGTGTCTCCATCCGATGGGGGTGATGAAGTCATGGCACAGGAGGTCAAAGAATCACCTGGGGCAGAACAAAGGAGCCAGAAGTTTATTGAATACACTGAAAGGGAGTGGTGAGCAGAACAGCAGAGGAGAGGTTGCTTGCGAAGAGGCTGTTTTTAAAGGGGGAAGGGGAAGAGGTATGCCATCGGATGGACTTCTCCTTTCTGGTCTCTGTGCCTAATTGTAAGTATCCCATTGGTCAGTTAGGGCCTCTGGGCATTTTGAGTTGGGTCTCCCGATGGGCCCTTCCGCATTCCATTGCTGAATCCTGTTTGCCTGAGAGCTGCCTCGACGATACAGGGATGAAATACACATGTCCTGTCTTCAGAAGTACCGTTTGAAGGGTGGTGGGCGGTCACAGCAGCCATCTCACTACACTGTAGTGTTGTGATAAGAGTATGAATACTGTGCTGTCATCACTCGGAGAAGAAACAGCATTTGAGTCAGAGTGTGTTGGGCTTATGGAAGGCTTCTTTAAAAAGGTAATTTTTAATTTTTATTTTTATTGATCAGTTGGAATAGCCTAGGTTATGCTGTAGGAACAAACATCCCAATTCAATGTCTTTACACAACAAATGTTTGTTTCTCATACAGATTACATGTCCAAAATGTGTTGATAGGAAGGCTTATGTACTTCCATGATCCAGGTGCAGCAATGGGAAGAGAGTGGCTAATTATGCACTGGCATGTAGAGTTTTATTGGTCAAAACAAATTTCAAAATGAGGACTGTGAAATGCAATATCATCTCTACCCAGAGGGAAAGAAAAATTGGAAGATATGTGAGTAGAACTAATGACTGCTATACCTTTCTACTGTTTTAAAGGAGTAGAAGATATCCAGGTAAAGAAGTACTTGAAAGTATTTCAGAGAGGGGAGGAGCATGAGCAAAGGCAGTAAGCTGTTATGTTGTGTGATAATTTCAGGGAACTGTATGTAATTCAAAGTAGTCAGAGCACAGTGTTGGTGTGGGGTTAAGACAGGTAGAGACTGGAGGGACAACAGGGTTTAGATCACATCAAACTATGAAATTAGAACTCCATCCTAAAGGACATAGGGAAACACTGAATGATATAATATACTTCAGGGAAGTTTCTTGATTAAACTTAATTTATGGAAGATTATGCTAGAAGCAGTGTGGGGGATGGTTTGAGGGGAGCAAGACCTGAGACAGCAAAACCAATTATGATACTAATGCAGTAATGCTGGTGAGACTCTAGATGAAGGCAATGACAGAGAAATGATAAAGGAGCAGAACAAAGGGTAAAAAGGCAGGAAAAGTATATACATGGGGGTGGTGGACTCCAGGGCACCGAGGGGGCCTTGGTAGAAAAAAGGGCACTTAGTCCACTGAGATGATAGTAGAGGTAATGGCATGAACAGTATTCATACCTTAGCATGTGTGTGTTTGGTGTGTATATAAATGTGTATGTTGGTGTGTGAGAGTGTGAGTTAGAGTAGGCTTGTAAGTGTGAGGTTCTTACCTAGTGATCCGTATATTCTTTGCGGCTTGGGGAACCAGCTCATGTGCCTAGAATAAAATGAAGGTGGGTGGAAGACTTTAGGAGAGCCCTGCAAGTTGTAATGGGTCAAATGGGACATACCGCCAAGTTGGAGCAGAGAAGTTGCTGGGAAGTGTTATTATGTACTTGAAAAAAATCAGATTATACATTTTACTGCAAAAATTGCTTTGGGAAGCTCAGTTGCTTTTTCTTTAAATTGTTTAGAGTTCAGTAATAATTCAAAAATGTACACTTGAAAAGACTTTTGTGTATACTACTTCCATTAGAGGGACTCATGAGATATAATCTAGCTCCAACCCCAGAATTTTGGTTAATGTGATAATAAGGACCCAATCATTTCATAACAGAGGGAATACAAATTTCTAAAATTAGTGAGGTAGTTATCCAGTGCTTTTGTAAAATCCTTCTTTTATGATACACTTTCAAATAAAGTAGTGTAATGTGACAGTGAAGTTTAATTTTTGAAGAAAAGATAGAGAAATGATTGGAATACTTGTGATATTTTTCTTAAAGGTTTTAGAAGATGTGGTTTGGAATGTTCTATAATTTAAAGGATATTTTAAAATCATGTTTCTTGTTTGCCATGGTGTATTAGACCCATGGTTAAGATATTTGGGAACTACATTTATTATTGCAAATTAAAGTTTTGAGGCCTGGATGACAGAACCAGTTTTATCTAATAGCAGAGTACTTCCCTAGGGACCCATACTGGCCTGCTCAATGCATCAGTGGGAATATAGATACATACAGATATTGATATAGGTATGTTAACTTTATATATATATATATACACATATATAAACTTAGTACAACTTAGAGATACAGTTACCAGTTTTAAAACTGGAGAGAAGGGATCCCTGGGTGGTGCAGTGGTTTGGCGCCTGCCTTTGGCCCAGTGCGCGATCCTGGAGACCCGGGATCGAATCCCACGTCGGGCTCCCGGTGCATGGAGCCTGCTTCTCCCTCTGCCTGTGTCTCTGCCTCTCTCTCTCTCTGTATGACTATCGTAAATAAATAAAAAAAAAATTAAAACTGGAGAGAAGTGTTTAAGCCTGTTTGATTGTTTGTTTAGAAGCCAACCATTTTACAAAGTATTTTTGAGTACTGATTATGTGCATATACTGTAAGCATGAAAGTGGTACTCTCTTAATCCAGGATTTCCAAGACTACTGAGAATAAAACAGCATATATAATTTGGCATCTTAAAAGTTAATCCACAGATACTTTTTTTGAAGCCATTTAGCTGATAATAGAAGATAGGAGACCAAATAGTAGCTGACAAGTGTATAATTTATATGTAATTAAGTTAGTATAGGCATAGTATATCCTGAGACCATTCTCATACTCTAAGAACCTTGAACTATAAAGGAACTCATTGACTTTTTAAATGAATGTGAGGTCATCAAGTTCAGGTTGTGTTTTTTGTTTATAAAAGCCATTTGGACTATGTGGTAACCTCAACAGTGAGTAACCGATTAAACCGACGTGACAGCATGACGTAATGATACTAATAACATTTAATGAACACTTACTATGTGAGAAGCGCCATGTTAAATACTTTATATCTTTAGCTATTTAATTGAGTGCTCACAACAGCTGTATGGGAGAGGTATTCTTACTGTGCCTATTTTAAAAATGGTAAATGAGCTTAGTTTGGTAAATAAGTAAAAAATGATAGAACCAGAAAGGAAATAAGTTAGAGAAAAGTTAATCCATCTTTTATCAGGCTCATATTCCTATAAGAGATAGAGAATTAATAGTTATATTTTAAACCTCAAGGTGTTTTTAACTTTTTACAATAACTAACCATAAAATATGGGTGATTTAAGTTAACACAACTGTCTTCTGAAAAATATTTACTCAATAACGTGTATTGAGTGTCTACTATGTGCCACAGTTTTCTAATTGTTTTGGATTTCAGTATATAAAAACAAAGATCTCTGCTCTTGTGGTACTATGTTCTAACGGAGGGAATTCAGAAAATAAACAGTAGAGTAAATTTGATACTAAAAAGCCTTTTTAATATTTTCAAATAGTTGATT